CTGCCACGCCATGTGGTCACCTCCGGGGCAGGCGGGAATTGAACTCATGCGGAAATGGCTTTAGCTTCTCAGTGCTGTGCTTTAACCCAATGCGCCACCAGGGAGGGCCTCATTTGGGTTTTTAATGAGATTTGACAGATGAACAAATACACATTAGAGTCAGATGGTACATCAGATTGTTAGAAGTATACTTATTAAATTAAAATTCTATAAAGAATAACAGAATGAACACAGGATGTTTATATGTTTATTTTGTGTTTAGGGACCTGAGGTGTTACAGAAAGAAAGGCAGACTTTATATGATAGGAAAGGATGGGGTTACCTCATCCTCAACTCTGAAAATAAAAATGAGATTCTCAGAGAGGACCTGTTCACTGATAAACCAACAGTGTCATGAGATACCCCTTTCCCTGCAAACTATATATATAGTTCTTTAAAGATTTATTTATGCATACAGAACTGGGGTACAAACCAGAGGCGCAGGGGCAGTGAGAGGCTTCACCAGAGAGAGTGGGGACCGAAACAGGCAGATCGATGAAGTACACTGCTGAGGGGAGCAGTGGGCGAGACAGAGAGGTCTGCTGTGCCATGTGGGTCACCTCTGGGGCGGGGGATCGAACTAGCACTGAAGTGGCTTTAGCTTCTTAGTGTTATGCTTTAACCCACTGCACCACCAGGCAGGGACCAGCAAACTATATTCTTTATAGTCATAAGAGGAACAGTAATTGTTTTTCCTACTAGTCAAAGGCAAGAAGTTTAGGACTTGATCTCTTCTTCAATTAAGGAAGTGCAAAGGATTCAGGCAAGGAGTGTTCAGTCTCTGAACACTCAACTCAAAAACAATTTGCATTCATTAAGGAATAGCAGTAGATCTCCTCAAGCCTAGTGGCTCCCATTGGTCTCTAGTTCCCATATCAAGGTGACAAGAGACCCTAAGGGCACTAAGAAAAGCTGAAGTGTCAGTCTCCAAGGGACAGGTTTATTTAACTTTCTGTATAGGTTTACCTAGGTACCTGTAAATTGCAGTATCTCTACCATACTCAGGTTTCTGAACTCCTACTATGATGTAATGAGAACTTTATTAGATAATTAAATTAATCAACAAAGACGCCTGAAGGATTGGCAACTGAAAGAATAGCCTATAATCTTGCTTCATTTGGAGATGGAAAAGCTCAGAGACAATTTGATGAACAGTGGTTCTTCAGTTCTCCTTCCTGTACCTTTGAGGTTTCAACACCTCATTAATAGTTTCCATTCTCCAACCTTTTACATCTTAATATCTAAAACTTAGCCTGCGGTGTATGTACTGGCTGGAACCTCTCTCCCTCTTATATCTCTGACATTATGGCTCATTTTAAAAGACATATTTCTCAATGTAATCAATGTGAACTTTTTCAAGTTTGAACCCTGAAAGTAGTCTCATGTCCACTCTTCTCAATGCCTACTAAATGCTCATTCATTTTTAGTAAATGGCAAACTGAGAAGGAAAGAACTTTCACTAATCATCATACTTTCTCTTCTCCCAAAATTTAAAATGTGTAAATGTCCAATATGTGTTTACTAAGTTAGATTTAATTGAAGTACTAATTAATTTAAATTTGGGGCACATTTTTTTCTGTTTTCTTTTGTCCTATTTCATTCAGCCATAGCATAATGGCAATTATCTTTAATTGTTTTTTGTTATCACTAATATTGATTTTTTATTTGATTGTTTATATTAAATATGCTTTTTTCAGTCTTTGCTATAGCCATCCTTTTTTCCTTAACAAAGTCAACTTTAAAAAATTTATTTAAGAAGAACACCCTATATCATGCATTCATCACTTGTGTGCTTATGAGGAGGAACTGGAGATTTATTCTGTTCCCCTCAATGAATTTCTGGTTTAGAATTCTGATTCATTTGAACAATGATGTCAATCGTTTTGTAAATGCAATTGATTTTTCTGTTCAATTAAACTCCATTTCCTAGAGATAGCCATGTGCAGATACACACCCCCACAAACTATCTTTCACACAAAATGCATATAATCCAGTCTTTGGAGATTTAGGTAAATGTAAGCCAAAGGTCCAATTTCCCAATCTATATGTAACCAGGCGTTGCCCTTAATCTTTATAAATTCTCAGCTCATTTCCCTTTGACTCTTC